ACTTTCAAATCGTATACCGACATGACAAATTTTTTGCACAAATGATTCGACATGTAACCCCTATGACTGTATCAAATTTAAAACTCTAACGCAAATTTTGCGAAGTTTTGATAAAAATAATATGGGTCCTAAAAAATTTTAGCCTGGGAACCCAAAACCCTCGGGCTATGAATCACTTTGAATTGCCTAACCCCCTAGATTGGGTGTTGCACAATGTCATTTGTACTTGCTATTGCGAACTTCAAATACGACATCTCAAACAATTTCGCTATAAAATCGTCAAAATACCGAATATTGTGAGGTACCGATGTAGGGGGCTATACGAAGACGTGGACCTGCACAGACAATTTTCTGTCTTAGGCTGTAGTATCTATTACGAACTTTAAACGCCAAATTTGAAAGAATTCCGGTGAATAATGTCGCTAAAATCATCAAAATACCGAATATCGGGAGGTGCCGTTATATGGGGACTATACGAAGACGTGGACCTGCACAGACAATTTTCTGTCTTAGGCTCTAGTATCCATTTCGAACTTCAAATACAAAATTTAAAAGAATTCCGGTGAATAATGTCGCTAAAATCATTCAAATACCGAATATCGGGAGGTACCGTTATATGGGGGCTATACGAAGACGTGGACCTGCACAGACAATTTTCTGTCTTAGGCTGTAGTATTCATTTCGAACTTTAAATACAAAATTTAAATGAATTCCGGTGAATAATGTCGCTAAAATCATCAAAATACCGAATATCGGGAGGTAGCGTTTACGGGGGCTATATGAAAACCTGAACCTAGATGACTCAACCTGACTACTGGCAAAATAAGCATGTGTGCGAAATTTTAACCTTATATCTCAATTCGTTCGATTCGTGCGTGATTACAACAGACAGACAGACGGACATCGCTAAATCGACTTAGAATTTTACGCTTTGTTGGGTCTGACATGAGTATTTGGAGGAGTTACAAACGGAATGACAAAGTTAATATACCCTCCATAGAATGGTGGAGGGTATAAAAAACACCACAAATGTATATTCGAAAGTTTAAAATTTTCAACAGATGTGCGAGAGGTAACAGAATGAATTATATTATTATAATTATCCTTATATCTTCATACCAGATCTTGAAATTCGAACACAAATCTGTCCCTTATTTTTATAAGAGTTATAATAATTCCAAATTTTGAAACTTTGAGGAGGAGGTACTTGATGGAGTGGGCTGACAAAGTCCATTTTCGCACCTGACATAGCAGTGATAAGAATATTGGCTTTTGTAAAGTTCGAAATTGGATGATCCTTTCTGTTTCTATTAGGCAAATAAAATTTTTTTTCAATTTTTGACCTTTTGCAGGGGCGGTACCAGAAAAAGTAGACCGATATTGTCCGTTTCCGAACTCGATTTAAGTTTGATAATAATATTACTTTGTGCCAAGTTTGGACCAAATCAGAGCATTATCGTTCGCACTAGCCATCCAGACACACAGACGGATGGACCCGGATTAACACCTTACATATATGACTCTAACATAAGGATTTATATCGCCCTAATGTAATGCTGATATAAAAAGCTATTTTATCTCAAGCTATAATCATGGCAATCAAACAGTAAAGTTATTATATAAGTGGAATTTATTATTTGTTTAAATTGTTATATTTTTTTATTTCTAAAGACGATTTTTTTTTATAGAACGATAGTCCCAAGACACCTTCGCCCAGTCTACTACCACACACGCCATGTTCTGTTATTGTAAAAGCTCTTGGAATTGTTATAAATAAAATACAAGTGATTTAATAAGAGGATGTGTCATTTTTTCTGCAGCAATTTTTGTTGCTAATGGAGAGGAGGACTAAAGCTTTCAATCTTCATGAAATCTTAATAACTTACGTGTTGATGTTTATGTGTCTGGTGGCAAACAAAGACAGTTCTCGATTTTTTTATTCTCTCATCCCTACAAACATCATCATTACAGTTGTCATTTGCATATATCTTCATTTTGTTTGAAAAGACATTAAATTTATGAAACTTTGGTATGTAAACTTAAAACATGTATATATGCATATGTCCAGCAAATAAAATGGCTGTTAGAAGCTCTATATTCAATGGGATATTTCCCTCAATTTTTTTTTAAAAATATTTAAAAATACAGTGTATTTAATTCAACCATAACGTCCCGTCTGTTTTAACTTCTGAAGAAGTTGAGATACTATATATTTCACTGTACTATACTGTATATTACAAAGCTCTTTCTTAAGAGTTGCAAAACGTATCTTAAACTAGAGACGTCCTTTTGAAAACTATACCCCGAAAAGAAAATTTGCAACGAATTTGGACTGCTAAATTTTACGGAAATAAACAAGTTTTTTTTTAATAAAAATTTATTAATAAAAATATTTTTTCCTGGTACATATTGAATATTCAAATTTTTCATGCTCAGAGAGACAATGAAATTTTATATAGAATTTCCGAAAATCCTTTTGTACATCTATCCTGTATTGCATCGGAGAGTCTCATTCAGACTTCTAGCTCATTCCGTATATCTAAAACAAACTATTCAATTTTTAGTACATTTTAGTTCTTTTATTTCTAAGTTCCATAAACTCAGTCTTATCACATGCTTACCAACTAAGACTGACCCTCGTGCAAAATTTCAAGATTTTAGGGTTAGATACAATTCTCAAGTTTTAAAATCAACAGATTCCAAGGAATCCGATTCTGAAAAAATCAAAAAATGTGAAAGAGAAAGGAACTTGCCGCCTCTATTTCGGTTACTTTGTAAACTTTCAAAACGGCGATACACGTGTCTTCTATGTTTCACTCTACTTTCATAATCTGCTGGACTTTTCATGTAATTATCTGTTTGTGTTGAACTGTGTTATTCAAAACGGTTCAGGTCTAGCTCCCTTTCAGGGGAAGGTTGCAAGGCACGACAAATTTTCCTACGAATCTTGTTGTAATTGGTAATTCGGATTCATATTTATATATAACGATCTATATTTAGCGTCGATCTTTCTAGCAGCGTCATCCGATTTTAGATATTTTTATTTTATAAGTAGTAACATCTCAAACAATTTTTGGTAAAACTTCTTTATAACCTCCAACATACATAGTAGAGGGTATGTTAAGGTCTTCATTCCATTTGTAATTCATCGAAATAATAAACGATTTAGAACTGCCCATCCGTCTGTCCGTGTGTTGTAATAACGCTAGGGTCAAAACGAATACAGAAGCTAACATTTTGCACCGTTCTGTCTTTTGTCTGCAGGCAGGTCAAGTTCGAAGATGGACCATATCGGTCCACGATATCTTAAAGTCCCCATACAATGGTACCCCCCGATATTCGGTATTTTGATTATTGTAACAACACTTTCCAACGGAATTGTCTGAAAATCCACACAAGTAGTTCTATCTGAGCATTTTCTCCCCTGGTAGAGAATTGTTTATATAGGTCCACTATATCGTATAGCCCCAATATAACTGTACCTCCCAATATTCAATATTTTGATGATTTTAGATGAAAGTCTACACAAGAAGTTCTTTCTGAGTGCTTTACCACCGGAAAGAAAATTGTCTATATTGGTCTACGATGTCATATAGCCCCCATATAACGGTACCCCCGATATTCGGTATTTTGATGATTTTAGCAACATTTTTCAATGGAATTGTCTGCAATTGTACACAAGGAGTTATTCGCTACTACTTTACCCCCTGAAAGAGAATTATATATATAGGTCCACGATGTCGTATATCCCCCATATAACGGACCCCCCCACATTTTTCCATGGAATTGTCTATAAAACCACCAAAGGAGTTTCTTTTTAGTACATTTCCGCCTGGAAGAGTATTGTCTATATAGGTCCACGATATCGTACATCCATTATATAACGGTTCCTCCCGATATTCGGTATTTTGATAATTGTAGCCAAATGTTTCAATAGCTGAAAATCCACACAAGGAGCTCCTTCTGCTTACTTTACCCGTATAGCACCCATATAACGGTATCCTCAGATATTCGGTATTCCCATGAATTGAGTGACATTATTCACCGAAATTGTTTCAAATTTCGTATTTGAAATTCGTAATGGGTACTTCAACCTATGAGGGAAAATTATCTATACCTGTCCACGTCTTTGTATAGCCACCATACAACGGTACCTCCCTTTACTTGGTATTTTAATGATAATAGCGACATTATCCACAGGTATTGTTTTAAATTTCGTTTTTGAAGTTCGGAATTGTTATTACGGCCTATGACAAAAAATGTCTTATGCAGCAGAGCCTCCATATAAAGGCTTTCATTTGAGCGGTATTTTCCGACGGATTTTTTTTCACATTTTTTAAGTTTCTTCCAAATGGTGCAGGGTATAAAAGTTCGGCGCAGCCGACCTTACCTGGGTTTTTCCTTGTTTAAAGTTCAGCCAGGCCGAGCTCACATTTATATTTACGCTTTCAATAGGCGATGCACTATATTGATTACTACATCAGTTTTTTCTCCAACATTTGTACCTGCATCTCGCTTCGAATACAAAACGAAACGTTTGAAAATCGTATGTTGTTGACAAATTTCATACCAAATTCTAATAATTCGGTATGCTGGGTAGACACGCGCTTAGAATTATGTGACATATGTATTTGTTCTTTTGAAAAGACAGATAAACAACAATTCACATTGCTTTGTTGTTGTTGTTGTTGTTGTATATTCTCAAATTACTCACTTGACTTATTGTTACGCTTTGAAAACATCTTCCAACACATCACGTTCACTTATACGAGGGGCAAGTTGAGAGGATGAAAGCTAAAGTCACCATAATTGCCGTTAACTCATATGTTTCAATTTGTTGTTATTTAAGTGTGTTTTTTTGTAAATTTATCAAAAGATTTCATCTTCAAAAAGATACTCACACACACACATACATTCACATATGTCGTTAAAAATTTATTTAAAATTGTGAATGGGTGGGAGGAAAATTACTAAATGTTTTATTATGGGATTTAACTCACCTGACATTTTCGTGTCGTTGTATATAGATCTTGTGAAATTGCGTGTCACGCGGTTGTCCTGCGATATCATCTTTCATTTCCATGGCCACATGTCTTGGCAACACCGACAGTAAAAGACGTTCCTTTTGTGGCAGCCGGAAATTTCGAATACAGCATACAAGTGTTGAAAGTACATGCCGCGCCAGCAACAAAGAAGAGGAGCGGATGGAAGTAAAAAACAAAATGGAAATAAGAAATAATAGTTTTTAAATATGTCAGGGATATAACTAGAGTGAGACATTTTCAATTTTTTTTTTCGTAATTTTCAATTATGGAACATTTTGCCTGTAAAATATCCAACTGTAAATCAACAAGTCAGATAATACACCCTCAGCCAATGATTGATTATTTAAATATATTTTGACTTCTGTTATGATTATTTAAATTGTTGACCCTCTATGGAGTAGGTACTGAAGGAATGGGTCAATATTGTCTATTTCGTATCGGACCTAAATAAATATGATATAAATATTGCGACGTGCCAGCTTTGGACTATATTGGTTTCTTTCTTCACTTTATATGAGATATGTGATAATTTTTAGAAATTTTAACATTTTAGGTGAGGTACCAGATGCAGTCGACCGAAGTATTCCGTTTTCATACTACATCTAATACAGATAAAGATATTGGTATCGGCAAAATACAAGAAAATCGAACATTTATATACAATTTTATACAAAATCATAAATTTCATATTCATTTCAGGTTCCTGGTTGTGAGAAATATTTGCATATAGCAAGTTGATAAAAATATTGAAAATTGTGACGCTTTGTGGACGAGTTACCAGAAGAGGTTCGCAGATGTATATAATCTTCAGAACACATCATGCGTTAGCAAAAATGTTTATATGTGAGAAATTTTAAAAGAGTTGGATGCTTATTTCGCTTCCGTTGAGCGTTTTCTTTTTCAAAATCTTGAACCCCATATGTGGGAGTTACCAAATGATATGGTGTGATCTCTACCATTTTTATAACAGATCTTGTGTTGATGGAAATATTGAGATGTACCAAGTCTGAATGAAATTGGATGTAAATTTAGCGTTTTATAAGCTTAATGGATATTCAAAATTTTGACCCTATGTGGGGGAGGTACCAGAAGTAGTGGACCGATATATCCCATCTTCACACCAGACCATGCCTTAACAAAAATATTGTGATGTGTGCAATTTGAAGACAATCCGAATCTTACATCATATGTTATAAGAGAATTATTCAAAATGTTGACCCTTTGTGGGTGAGGTACTTGATGAAGTGAACCGATATTGAATTGATTCTAGTGAAATCGGAGTATCCTTTCTCTTTCTGTGCAGTAAAATATTTTTTGAAAAATTCGACTTCTTGTGGCGAAGGTATCAAAAGTAGTGGACCAATATTGCCCATTTCCGAACTCGATCTATGTTTGACAATAACGTTACGATGTACCAAGTTTGGATCAAATCGGATACTCCCTTCCAGAGCAATAGCGGGCACCAGCCAGCTGGCAGGTGAACGGACGAACATCACTAGATTGACTCTAAATTTCCTGAACGGTTTTGGCCCAAAGAAACATTGGGTCTAAAACAGTTATTACGATGAGGCACGTTTTGGCCGTATCTCTACCAATATGGCTAAGGGTATAAAAACCGAATACTCTATTTGCTTTTTATACACTCAGTCATATGGCTAGGAAGGGTATTTATCATGTTATACGTAAAAAACGTGCCTCATCTAAATCACGGTTTTAGATCCAAGTTCTCTTTGGGCCAAATCCGTTTCAGGACATTTGGTATCCATCTAGCGATTTCCGTCCGTCCGACTGGCTGGTGCGCACGATAACTCTCAAAAGGAGTATCCGATTTGATCCGAACTTGGTATATCGCCTCTTTAACTCATACCTCCAGTTACTTTCCCACTGGTTTTTCGAAGTTGTGATGCTTCGAATACGGATGGAGTTAATAAAAAAAGAAAATCGAGTACGACTCAGTATGACTTATCCTTTTTTTAACTTTACGAAGGTAGAATATTGCTATTCTGACATATTTTCGAAAATATCTTGGAGATATCGACAAAATTTAAACCGCAAAAATTTAGTTCTTCTGATTTGAACTTTTTTGCAAAATTCAAAAATTGCGATTTCGTCATACATTCGAAATTATCGTTTTTTCGAACATTGTAGGAGATGTCGATAAAGCTTTACCGACATTGTAATTCCCATAGATTTTTACAAAAACACATTTTTCTTGAATATCTCTTCCATATTTTTTCAAATTAAAAAAAATCGTTACAATGGTCACAAACCTAACACAATTCAATACAACTTTCCTTTATTACGAAAGCCAAAAATTTCAAATCAATTTATTTACTTCTTCATACAGCGCAATCAATGCAAAATACGCACAGACATGACATATGTATTTGGATTCCCATTATGTGAGAAATTATTTTTAACAAAATTCACATTAAGATGTAGGAGGAGTATCAGACGCACTTGTGAAAACACTTTATAGGATTCCATTTCAGATTTAAAGTGTTTTATTTAATTTAGCAACGATATCAACAAGCGTTGGCCCATTCCCAGGCACATTTGTGAAACAAAATCTGCCAATATGATAACTAGTTTTATTGTGTATACGAAGCGATTTCCGATTCGTCCCTTTGCTATTTTGATTCTTCACATAGGGGGCACAGGACACGTATGAGCAACACATGTCCCCCACCCTTCGCATGCACGCCCTTTAAACTTGTTAACATTGACGAGGGTCTCTTCAATTTCTATTTATTTTCAATTTAACCCCAAAACCGATGTCGTATAATGGCAGATACATGTGATAAATCGACAAACAATACACAGACATTGCCACGCACACACATACTCCTGCACCACCTACCTACGTACCTATGCGATGAATTGTTCCAATGCAAACATTTTTAAAATTCCCAAAATGCGTAGCACATAAATCGCTTAAACGAACAACCATAAAATAATATTTATGGAACATTTTTTGTTCGAATTGAAAAGGAGCTTAACAGGTTTTCCGATGATTGCCAAATCAACGCATGTAAGTGTTTTGTTTATATTTTAATGCACACGGAATGGGGGTCCTTAAAAATTAACTATGACTTCGTGTTTATTTATGCAGAAATTCATACATAGCGTTAACAATTGGAAAAACGATGAAAGAAGGGCTTGACGACGATGGCACAAAGTTAATGCTCAATAAAGAAAAGTACAATAGGTATTCGGTACTCGTGGAAAAAATAATAACAACAAAAGTGTTTGTTTTTAAGAACCCATATATTTGAAAAGTCGTCAGGAAAAATAAATTATCAAAAATACAAACTTCGTGTTAGGGCAAAATATTGTTTTTAAGAACCCATATATTTGAAAAGTCGTCAGGTAAAATAAAATAAAAATACAAACTTCGTGTTAGGGCAAAAAATTGCAATAATTTCCATTATCGCTCCTAAGCTAAGTTAAATATAAATATTACCATTGGCCATATTAGATTCGTTTTATAAGAGATACAAAAAAGATTAAACTGATATATTTCATTTCACACCATATATATTAGGAAGCTAAAATTTATCAAAATCGGACATCGATATCCTGCTGTACCCATTGAAAGAATATTGTCTATATCGTTTAGGCCCCATACAACGGTACCCCCCTTCCCTATTTTCTATTTTGAAAATTTTAGTCAAATTTTCAATGGAATTGTCGGAAATTTTACACAAGGAGTTCCATCTGACTACTTTACCCCCTAGTAGATAATATCTATATAGGTCTACGATATCGTATATCTCCATATAAGGCTACCTCCCGATATTCGGTATTTAATGATTTTAGCCACATTTTTAGGGTAATTGTCAGAAAGTCCACCCAGGGAGTTACTTCTGAGTACATGATCCCCTGTATTGGTCCACTATATTGTATAGCCCCCAAGCAACGGTACCCCCCGATATTCGGTATTTTGATGAATTTTGTCACCTTTTCAATGGAATTGTCGGAATTTTACACAAGGAGTTCCATCTGAGGAGAATTGTCTATATAGGTCCAAGATATCGTATAGCCCCCCTATATAACGTTATCCACCGATATTCGGTATTTTGTTGATATTAGCCACATTTTGCAAATGACCACAAGAAGTTATTTCTGAGTACTTTGCCTTTCTGAGTATTTTACCCCCTGGAAGACAAATATTTATATGGGTCGACTATATCGTATACCTCCATACAATTACTAATGTAGAACCAAGTCTTTGTATAGCCCTATACAACGCGTTTTCTCTGAGCGGTATTTTCGACGGAATTTTTTGTAAGTTCCTTCAAAATGGTGGAAGGTATTAGAAGTTAGGTCGGTTTTTTGATCAAATCCGTTTCAGGGCATTTGGAGTTGATCTAGCGGTACCGTCTATCTGGTTGACTGGAACGCACGACAATTCTCGAAGGAAGTATCCGATTTGGTGCAAACTTGGTACATCGTAATATTATCAAACTTAGATCGAATTCAAAGATAGGCAATATTGGTCCACTCTTTGTGGTACCTCCCCCACAAAAGGTCGATGATTTCGAAGAAAATATTCTACTGCGCTGAAGGAGAAAGGATGATCCGATTTTGCTCCATCTTTGCAAATCCTAATATTCCACTCCATCAAGTAAGGGTTAACATTTTTAATAATCATAACTCCAATAAAATGTAACCGGAAGAGTACGATTGTCTTCAAATTACACACATCACAATATTTTTATTAGCCTAAGTTCTTGTGGGAGGATAGAGTATATCGATGCACTCCTTCTGGTACCTCCCGCACAAAAGGGTCAAAATTTTGAAATGCAACGAAGCTGAGAAAATGCGAAATTAACATCCGATTCCATTCATACTCGGAACATATCAATATTTCTATAAACACAAGATCTGTTTTAAAGAAGGTAGAGATCAGACCATTCCTTCTGGTACCACCCCCGCGAAGGTTGAAAATTTTGGATATCCGGTTTCTCTTCAAATTTCATACATCCCATTATTTCTACTAACACAAGATCTGATGTAAAGATAGGATATATTCAAAATTTTGAGAAACAGAACACGAAATAAGCATCCAGCTGTTTTCAAATTTCACTCATCAAAACATTTTTGCTAACGCAAGATCTGTTGCGAAAATGATATATTTCTGCCAACGCCTCCTACCTCACCCACGGGGGGTCATAATCTTCAAATTTTATATCTAAATATTTTTCTCAACCTAATATGAATAATTTATTTGTGATTTCGCATAAAATTGGATATAAATGTTCGATTTTCTTGTAATTTTGCCAATACTACTATTTGTATCTGTATCTGTAATAAATGAAGTGTGAAAATGGAATACTTCGATCTACTATATCTACTCAATCACGCGAGAAAGGAAGTACTTGATATTGTCTAAACCTGGCACGTTGCAATATTTATATCATATTTTCTTAGGTCCGATATGAAATGAACAATTCTGGTCCATTATTTCGGAACCTATTCCATATAGGGTCAATGGTTTGAATAATCATAATAGAAGTCGAAATATATTTAATTAATCGAACATTGCCTGAGGGTATACATCATTCAGCAAAATCGACTGATACATTTTAGCTTATTTTTTATAAAAAACACAAAGGAAATACAGGGAAAGTAAAAGATTCCGCATATTGCTGACATGAAAAATACTTTCTCTAAAACAAAAATATATGTTCTTATTCGACAAATGGGTAAAATATTTTTCTAAACACAAGCTATAAGATTGAGGTTATATATAAGTATTGAACCAAGCCCTTTATTTGAGAGATTTCACCAATATGAAAAAAAATTACACAATATTTCATTAAACTACCCCAGTTGCGATGGAATGTATTCGAATAAAATCTTCAAATTGATCAAATGTAACTCCATTTATTTACACAATTCCCCTTGTCTTAACGACATACTTCTCTAAAGCCTTGATCAATTTAATAAAAATAATTGTTAAGTGGCTCTCATTGATGTTGAAAAACCCACATGGAAATATGAAAATGAAACCAAAGTGATAACACAACGCTTTTCGGTTAACGGACAAATTCAATTATCCACTGGTGTAAACTCTTCAACAATGTCCTTTGTGTCAGAGAATAACAATACAGTGGCTTATTCATTCGCCCCCTCCAACAACAACTTTGTTTTTGTTTGGCAATTTTGTGTGAAAATGTGTGGGTGTTGTAGTGCAGGCGTATACATACACACATACATTCATAGATGGACAGATATTTTCCTTTTTTGATACATACCTGCTGTTGATTCTCTCGTTGTGTTCGCAGACGAGCCTCGATACACTGACGCGTCTCGATGAATGCCTTCCGTTGCGCCTTCTCCTTCGGCCAGTGGGTATAAATGCCGGTCAGATTTGATAAAAATAAAGCCATTAAAGTACTGAATAACTGCCAGCAGCAACAACAGCAACAAATGAAGACCAGCAAAACATGATGTCGACCGGAAGATGGCAGAAGTAAACAAAAACAAAAACAGCAAAAAACAAACAAGTTAGTTAGGGGTATCTGGCTCACAAGAACAATAAAATTAAATAAAAAGTAAATGGACAATAAATTTTTATTTTTATTATTTGGTTCATTTGGCATTGTCTACACGTTGTTGAACTATTGTATAAGCTTAATCAAATCGAAGAATAAAACCCCATCGACACAAATACATATTTGTTTTTATGTTTATTCTATGCACAAAAAAGCTAACAGGCACAGGATCGGCATACAATTACAAGTGGTTGGAGACCATGGCAGTTTGGATGTAGCAAATGAGAGCCCTTTTTTAATCAAGCATATGCAGGAGGGTTTGATTATCAATGAGGTTTTTGTTGGAAAAACAAAGGCTATGCTCACTTTGGAAGATTTTACAAAAACATGCATCCACAGTGTTTTTTTTACAACATATTTGTTACCTTGGCCGACAAGGTAGTGGCCTGCCCGAAGTCAAGAATTTAGGCAGTCGAATATGTGAACAAATACAGAAAACAACGACTTTTTTCTTAACCAATAAATACTTTAGGTGTGTCTGTTTACTTTTACTGCAAGAATTGTCTAGCAACTTCTTGCTCAGACAGTAAGGTAGTTTTATTCTCTTTTATGTGAAAGCTGTGAAAAAGATGGGTTTCTCAACTTGTCCGCCATAAAAACAGAAATATTAAAAGGAAAATGTGGTAAATAGAAGAATATTCCATTCCCAAAAATTTTTCTATAAAAACATTAAATTTAGGTTTGCGTTTTCAAAATAAAAGTTTTTTTTTAATAGCTCGCACACAAATAAATAACCGGATAATCAACCAGTAAAGAAAGTCTTTAAGTCGGGCATGGGGTATTCTGATACCCTACACCACCTTGCATATTTAGTAAAACTTCACATGAGAATTAAAAGTTTTCATGGAATAAATAAATCATAGAAGCTATGATTATAATTATAATTAAAAGTTCAAAGGACAAAATATGCTGAGGAATTTGTATAATTTTATTTGGGATTTGTATTGTCCATTTGGTGCACAATTGACTGGAAATCGGATAAAGATATATGTATGGGAGCTATAATCCAAATATATTTCTGAGCTGTATTTGATATATTTCCCTGAATATCGTCCTTACGGAGAGCATATTACGGTTGTGGCGAACAAATATAACAAATCGGATGAACAATATATATTGGAGCTATAGCTATATCTGAACCGATCTTCACCAAAATTGGCATACTAGCTTCTAGTTGCAAGTGCTTTGGTCGTAAGTGCCGAATTCCATCCCATTTGGTCTAATATTAAACGTTTGATGCATACAAAGGCAAATGGGACGAAGTTATATATGGGAGCTCCATCCAAATCTGACCCGATCTCGATAAAATTTAGCAAAGGATTTTCTGAGCTGTATTTGGTATATTCTCCGAAATATTGTTGTTACAGAGTGCATATTACAGCTGCGGAGGACAGAAATAACAAATCGGATGAACACTATAGCTATATCTGAACCGATTTCGATGAAATTTGGCATACTTATTTTCCTAATTTGATCGTATGTGCAAAATTCCATACTATTTGGGCTTATATTACACGTTTGGTGCACAAAAATGCAAATCGGACGAAGATATTATGGGAGCTATATCTAAACTTTAACCAATTATCTCCAATTTGAATAGAGTTCATCCTTGGGTAAAACAAATGATTTGTGCAAAACTTAAATTTTAATTATAATCAGCTCAGAAATACCTTTGCTAAATTTTATCGAGACTGGTTCAGGTTTGGATATAGCTCCTATACATAACTTCGTCCGATTTACTTTTTATTGTCCACCAAACGTATAATATTTACCCAAATGGGATGGAATTTGGCACATACGACCGAATTGAGTCTAGAAGGTAGTATGCCAAATTTGGTGAAGATCGGTTCAGATATAGCTATAGCTCCCATACATATTGTTCATCCGATTTGTTATATTTGTTACCCACAGCCGTAATATGCACTCCGTAACAACGATATTCAGGGAATTATATCAAATACAGCTCAGAAATATCTTTGCCAAATTTTATCGAGATCGGTTCAGATTTGGATATAGCTCCCATATATATTTTTATCCGATTTTAAATTATTTGTGCACCAAATGGGCAACACAAGTCCGAATTTAAAAGATACAAATACTTCGGCATAACTTTAAATTATAATTATAATCATAGCGCGTATGACTGAATTCTCCCATAAAAACTTTTAATTGTTATGCGAAGCTCTACTAAGTAAGCAAAGTGGTGTAGGGTATCATAAAGTCGGCTCCGCCCGACTTTAAGACTTTCTTTACTGGTCAGTATGGAAACATACTGGGCACGGTTTTACATCTTGTAGCAATAAAAAGTTTTTCAAAGAATAAAACAACGTAAAGTCGTTAAATAGTTTAAATCATGAAAACATATTGCCATACTTTCACTCAGAGTATCATCGAAATTTGCAAAACTTTTGTACAATATCCTTTATGATGCCAGAAGATTTATTTAATTTTTTCATTCTTAAAAATAAACAACTGAGTGCTTTGCATGTGTTCTCCCTGAACTTGTAGATAGTTATATAATGTCTACAAACCAGTTTTTATATGAGCGACTTAAGGCAATACTCTGCCCAAGTTTTGTTACAATTAAAGTGTACGATTTTAAACCTTTTATGGCAACAACTACTTTCGCTTAATTCCTGTCGTTATTAATGAGGTTTTATATTTCAAGTTACTTACCTCTTGCCACTGGTATGTATCCTCTGCACGGCTGATAGTGGTATAAATCTGAGTTGCTGATAAAATTATACCGCCAACCAGAGACTCTCGCTGGCGCAGTGGCAGCATGGTGTACGTCATGTAGACAAAGATGACACAGCAGGCACAGCCATTAAATGATTTGCTTTAATTAAAGAAGGATATAAGGCATTAATGGTAGTAAGAATTTGTGGCATATCTATTTCCTATTCTCTGATGTAGAGTTACTCTTTTTTTGAAAATAAATGATTTTCTCTAACAAATTTGCCTGGTTAATTTATCCGCCGTTTAGATATTTGGTTTTAAAAGGTAAAATCTTTCAGGCATTTAACATTTGGGGAAAACTCAAATAAAATTCCCATCCTACAAATTGAATTTCTTTTCACGTTTTTTGTGTTAAACCCTATCCAGTGGTTGCATTATTCGATTAAAACAATTACACACCGCAAGGAAGGAAACCCCCTCAAACCACATGTTTTTGGTCATGTTTTCCATTTGACTTACCTTGGCAGCGTTGAGTAGCCCACGGCGATTTGTATGGCCACAAAAGTACCAACGATTACATAAGACACGAGTACCAAAAATATTTCATTCATTGCCGGTTTTGACAGGATACACAGCAGGACTGCAAATTATAGAAATATGTAAATAAGATTACAACAATGGGAAACCTTCAATCGATGAAAAGGAAATTGTTCTGAGACATGAATATAAAAATGAACTTCTGCTTTGTATATTTTATGTTTAGACTTCAAAATATTATTAAATAGGCACAGTGTTTAGAGAAAAACCAGTAAAGAAAGTCTAAAAGTCGACCGGGGCCGACTTTATGATACCCTACACCACTTTGCTAATTTAGTAGAGCTGCGCATAACAATTAAAAGTTTTTATGGGAGAATTCAATCATACACGCTATGATTATAATTATAATTTAAAGTTCAACGAACTAAATATGCCGAAGCATTTGTATCTTTTACATTCGGACTTGTATTTTGTTTTATTTTACAATTAATTTGAAATCGGATAAAAATATATATGGGATCTATATCCAAATCGAAACCGATCTCGATAAAATTTGGCAAAGATATTTCTGAGCTGTATTTGATATATTTCCCTGAATATCGTGGGTATGCACTCGTTGGAGTGCATATTACGGCTGTGGGTAACAAATATGACAAATCGGATAAACAGTATATATGGAAGCTATAGCTATATCTGAACCGATCTTCACCAAATTTGACATACTAGCTTCTAGACTCGGTTTAAGTGCCAAATTTCATCCAATTTGGCGAAATATTAGACGTTTGGTGCACAATCAAAGGTAAATCGGACGAAGTTATATATGGGAGCTATATCCAAATCTGAACCGATTTCGATCAAATTTGGCATACTTATTTTCAGGTCCAATCTGATCTTACGTGCAAAATTCCATACAATTCGGACTGATATTACACGTTTGGTGCACAATAAAAGCCAAATCGGACGAAGATATATATGGGAGCTATATCTAAATTTTGACCGATTATCTCCAATTTCAATAGGGTTCGTCCTTGGGCCAAACAAATGGTTTGTGCAAAAATTCATCTGGATAGGACAATAAATGCGAACTGTACTTTGTTTACAAAAATACATGGCCAGACGGACAGACAGACGGACGGACATGCATAAATCGACTCAGAATGTGATTCTATGCAGATCATCAAAAGGAACTATGAGTCTATCTCGTTTCCTTTTGCCTGTTACAAACAAATGCACAAAGACATAATACCCTGACCACCTTGTGGTGTAGGGTATAAAAATGGGTTTATTGCCATTTAAATTGAAATTCGTAAAAGTAAGTAAGCTGTATTTACCTTTCATTACAAAACCTAGTTGAAAAGAATCAGTCAATTGATAGTATATATGAATTTTCACAGTTTGCAGGGAAGTAATCAAGAATAGTGGGCGGATATATCCATCCTACATTTACGCCTGACCCAGTACCGGTAAAAATTTTATAATGTGCAGAATTAGATAAAAATCGGGAAGTATTTTATCATGGTGTAGTAGTTATATATTTAAAATGTTAACCCTTTGTAGGTAGGTTACCAGAAGGAGCGCAAATCAATTAAATCTGAAACCCCATTTTCGAACTGTACCAAATGGTACAAGATTTAGAACAATTTGGTTAAGGGGGAACTGATGCAGCTGTAAATTTGAAATTTTGTATTGATGTCCCAGTTGGCGGTGGGTTTGTGATTGAAAGGTGGTTTTGGAAATGTGTACTACAAGTGCACGAAAAGTGCTAAATAGTACTATTTTTGACAATATTTTGTATTGGGCGAGCAGATAGTACTTGAAGTACTTGAAATTTGGTACTAGCCTTGAGTAATTGTACGAAAAGTGGCAAATGGTACTATATTTGGTCTTGGGTGAAAGGATAGAACTGGAATACTGAAATTTGTTATTTAGATAAATTTTGTTATCTGTGTCTGATATTTGGAGGTGAGTTGGAAATGGTATTGGGCGAAGGGATAGAGCAGGAGTCCCGAATTTTGATATTAAGGTCTATGCTGGTATATGTGATTGAGATGTGGAGGCGGTTTTCGAAATTTGTACTATAATTGTACAATAATTACTAAATGGTAATCAATTTGGTATTGGGTAGAGCTGAAATCCTGAAATTTTATGTGGATGTCTCTGGTTGAGTAGTACCTTGGTGTTACTAATTTTGGTTAACTGTTGGTGTCTAGGATGGAAAGATGTAGATTGTTTTGTATATGCGTACTAAATGTTACTAAATTTTGGTATTGGGTGAAGGGATAGAGCTGAAATTCTGAAATATGACATTGAGGTCACTGTCAGTTTCTAGGGTTCCAATATGGAAATAGTTTTGGACAGAAAAATCGGATGTGGACCCATTGTACATACAAAGGTTTTCCTCTTCGTTAAACTTCGTTAAAGAAATATTTCGAAGACTGAAGTCTGAAAATTTAGGACAATATAGGAAATTTAGATTAAAATTTTTTGTCAAACGGTAAAAATTGTGCCTTTTGAGCATACCTTATTTTCAATACTATACATGCTATGCAATGAGCCAAAATTTAAACCTATATAGGGGGGGGATGAAAAACTGTAACCAACTTCATACTGTTGTCATTTGTAAGCCACTTGTCCGGCTGCTTTTTTAAATTATTCCACTGCCAGCTCATTATATTGTTTACAAGAGTACAAAAGCATTTTGGTGAGAATTTTCCAGAAAAAAAAAATATTCGCAATGGAATTTAAGCTTGATGGTGTGGGCCGCCGTAACAGCCGATGGTAGCTCTTCGCTCGAATTAATCGACCATGTCATCAGAATAAATACCGAATATTATAGCGAAAATATTTTGGAGTTTGTATTGAGCCTTGGGCACGCAAACATGTTGGCCGCAGACCTTGGACATTCCAACAGAACTCAGCACCATCGCACTCAGAACGCCCCACCCAAGAATGGTTACAAAATGAGGTTCCTCGCTTAATTTCCAGCAAACAATGGCCACCAAAATCTCCAGATACCAATGTTTAGTGCCAAGGTTGGCACTAAAAAATACCAAATACCTCAAGCAAGCGCTTCGCCGGGAATGGACCAAAATACCGCAAAGCAATATTCGGGCAACCTGTGAAGGTTTCATGGCCAAAGGTGACCAATTCAAACAAATCTAAACTTATTCTAAAATTTGATGCTATTTCCGACATTTTTTGCTTTCATTCAATAAAATTAAACAAAAAATTAAAATTATGGCGTTTGTCGTTTTTTTATCTCACCATGTACGTTAAATAATGTGGCCTGAATCTTGAAGTCAACAAACACACAAACACAGCCAGACTTCGTTAAACAGACTTAGAATTTTGGCGTTCCGGCAAATATGGAATGACAAAATTATTATTTCCTCCTATCCATGGTGGAGGGTCTTTTTCTTTCGACAGGACTATCAAATCGTTATGCAGGAGTAGGTTTTAAAAATACATGAAAAGTACAAAAAGGTCCTGGGTATAGTACAATTTTCATTCGATAAAAAAATGAAAGCGAAATTTGGGGCGTATATAGGATGTACTTAATTGTATAGAGGATGGTCAAAATTTTTAATAAGTGTAATCTCACTACATGTAAATAAATTCAACGACTTTCTTCAACAAATTATTTTACAAAATCATAGATATGTCGTTAATATAGGGAAGTCCCCCATAATGAGTTAAAATTTTAAAAAATGTTTTCTCTCTATAAAAAAATACAAAAATTAGATTTTGCGTAAAGATGGGATATAGCGACCCATTCCTGATGGTCCTTTCCGCACATAATTTCGCAATTTGCATAAAATTGCATTATGCAATATTATTATATATTACTAATATTATTGCAATATGTCGGCATAATGTTTGACCCTTTATTGAAATGGTACCAAGAGAGTACCATCTATCATCAATACTATATTTCAATATAGTATTTCATAGTGATTCCCATCAGATCTTGTGTTAATATAAAGTGATGTGTGAAATCTGAAGATAATCGGAAGCTTATTTTGCACTTTATAAGAGTTAGAATTATGAAAAATGTCCTTAAACGGAATTGGCCCAAAGGGACCTAGAGTCTAAAAGCGTTATTTCGATTTGGCATGTTTTGGCCGTATCATATGATATATCTATAGCCATATGTCTGAGGGTATATGAAGCTATAATTGAAGATGTAGGATTCTCAGTGTGCATCCACTTTTTGCTATAGCTCCCACGATACTGTATCCCATTACATTCGGGATTTTGATTTTCTGGTCCAAATTTCCAGCCTAATCAGATGTAATTTGATAGTTTGGGTCCTTTATAAGTATATTAGGTCCTCAGGTAAATAAACTAACTTCCAAATTTTAGTTATTTCGAGTAGTCTATTTGGCCATAGGTCAATTTGTCATACGATGTAGGGTTTAAAAATTTCAGTCCGGCCCAAACCCAACGAACTATTAATATTTCTACCTGACGACATATTATGTTATTCCATTTGTGTAAAGTCCAAACATTGTGTCGCATAACCAATCACAAAACTATTGTGACACTCCAACAATCTCTACTAAGTATGTCACTCAAAAATTTGAACAAAACTTACCGGAATAGACGAGCGCACAAATGGTCATGACAATCAACAACACCCACATTTTCTCGTCAATTTCCCCAATCACCGCGAAAATGAAATCAATTTCATTGTCATTGCCATCGGCAGCAGATTTGGGGATCACATCCAAGAGACTACCGCTGTGCGTGAAAGTTACACTGTTGTCCGCTTCAAGGGCGCTTTCATTTAAAAATGTGGGCAACTTGGCCAGAGAGTGCGAAACAAAATCGCTATTGTCGCTGTTCCTATTCTCTGGCAGGGGCAATGGCTCGTTTGTGTCGGAAATTGGGTAGGCAGCAGGGATATCGATAGCCTCATGTGTGACAGTGTCAAAATGGTTGCCATTGATGGTGTTGTTTGCGTCTTGCCAGACTGGTGATGGGACTTCAGAGGCTTCAGTCGCAGCATAGCCATTCTCACTCTCTGAGGTCCGAATGGAGGATGGAGGATAGTGCTCGTGTTGGCCATGACGATGTTGGCTATGCTGTCGGTGTAAGTGATGATGTTGTTGTTGTGGATGATGGTGATGATGCTGTTGCTCTTGGCTCTGGTTATGTAGTTGAGTATTCAATTTTGTGTCCCTCTTCATGTTCATATTTTCAATGTTGGCATTCAATATATTTTCATTTTCATTCAGATCATGTCTTTTGGATCTTTGTTGTTTTTTGTGGTGATGTCGTCGTCTTCGCTTTATCTTATAGTTGTTGTTGTTGTTGTTTGAAATGTCATTACGTCCATGCTGGAGTTTCATACTTTTACTAGATTTCAATGAATCAACAACTTTGTTAACAGCAATGTCATCGTCTGATGGAAACATATTTCCCAGTTTTTGTTGTTTACCTGTCATTTGAAGCGACATTCCCAGCATTTGTTTCCGCCTTCCCGGGGAATGCTTTTGGTGCAGGCCTGTGTATCCTTCATAATCTATATTATTTATGATACGATGATATTCTATTCGTTTGTTGTCACCAGCGACATTTGCTTTGCGATGCTGGACATTTTTCTGATGAGTTATTAAATCAAAGGGACTGGAAGTAAATTTACTGCTCCCTGCGTAGTCGCCCTTCCTCGAAAGCATGTTTTTAGATTGGACGTTATCATCCACTACAGCATATCTTTTTAATCTACAAAATAAAGAGAGAGAAAAATTGTGTAAGAAATAAATTCATATTACACAATATATTACGGTCAGCGGGGGATATTCTTTGTGGTATTTGTAGATAAACAAAAGTTGCTGTATTGAGGGCCCATTGCGAACACTTAAACTACTTTTTCTTGCCAGTTTCATAAACCGAATAGAAATGCGGAAATGCGAAATAGTAATTTATAAACAATGAAAAATGGCATAGCAGTAGCCCCACTTTTCTCTACTATGATGTAGTTCATATAATTTATATACGTTTATTAGATTATTATCACCTTTACCAAACAACCGCTTTCAATTGTCACAATTATTTGATTTTGAAAAGAATTGACTGCCTATTTATGTATGTCGAAATAAAATGAACGTGATTCTATGTTTTTCAAAAATTTGAATTTTTAATGACTGAATTAAAAAAAAAAAATAAAAAAAAAAACAAGTAAAAAACATTAAGTTCGGTCGGGCCGAACTTTTAATACCCTCCACCATTTGGAAGAAACAAAAAAATTCCGTCGGAAAATACCGTTCAATTGAAAAACGTTATATGCGGGCTACATGAAGGCGTGTATAAGTAATTTGTGTCCGAATTTTATATATGAAAATTTGAAACAATTCCGGTGAATAACGTTGCAAAAATCATCAAAATACCGAATTTCAAGAGGAACCGTTATATAGGGGATGTATGATATCATGGACCTATATAGGTAATTCTCTTCCAGACGGTAATGTACTCACAAGGAACTCCTTTCGTAGATTTTAGGACAACACCATTGAGAAATTTGTCTGAAAATTGTTACCCTTTGAGGATGAGGTACCAGAAGGGGTCCGCAGATATATATCATCTTCAAAACAAATTTTGTGTGTGAAATTTAAAGGGAGTTGGATGCTTATTTCCCTTTCTTCGAGCGGTGGATGTAACAGAAGAAATGGTCCGATCTCTACCATATTTATAGCAAATCTTTTGTTGATGGAAATATTGAGATATACTAAGTCTGAATGGAATCGGATCTATATATTCCATCTTCACAGCAGATCTTGTGTTAGTAGAAATAATGGGATGTGTGAAATTCGTAGAGAACCGTATGCTTATTTTATAATCGTTTCAGTTATTCAAAACTTTGACCAGGTATCAGAAGGAATGGTCCTATTTCCTATTCCTATTTCTTTATAACAGATCTTGTGTTGATAGATATATCGAGATGTGTAAAGTTTGAATGGAACCGGATGTTAACTTCGAGTTTTGTTTGCTTCATGGATATTCAAAACTCTGACCCTTTGTGGGGGAGGTACCAGATGGAATGGTCCGATATCTACCGTATTTTTCACGTATCTTGAGTTGATGGATGTATTGGTATGTACCAAATCTAGAATCGGATATTAACTTCGCGACAAGCTTCATGGATATTTAAAATTGTTCACGCATTGTGGGGGAGGTACTTGATGGAGTGGACCGATATTTTCAATTTTCGCACCTGACCTAGCACTGATGTAAATATTAGGAATTGCAAAGTTGAAGCAAATCCCTTTCTTTCTCTATGAGGTAAATTATTTTCGTTGAAAATGTTGACCTTTGGTAGGGGAGGTACTAGAAGGAGTAGACCGATGTTGCCCATCTCCGAACTCGATCTAAGCTTGACAATAATATTACGATGTACCAAGTTTGGATCAAATCGGATGCTCCTTTCGAGAGATTTATCGTGCGCACCAACCTGCAGATAGCAGACTAACGTACGGACATCGCTATATGGTCTCCAATTGTCCTGAAACGGATTTGCCACATTTTGGCCGTACTGATATGTAGAGCTGAGGGTATACCAATTCCATTTGTACCCAATTTGGTCCAAATTTGGTACATCATAATATTATGGTAAAACTTAGATCGAGTATGGAGATGGGCAAAATAGGTCCACTCCTTATCGTACCTCCCTCAAAAAAGTTTATATTCTTCAAAGAAAAGGTGTATATTTGGTGTAAAACAAAAATATTCTTATAATTTTTCGAAAGCTTACCGAAAACGCATAAAAATAACTTTAATCTCAATAAAACAAAATCTCGGATGGTACACTTAAGAATGACGCCGATAGTAAACGTAACAATCCGATGCTTATTTAAGCCATACATAACTCAAAAATTTATGGGAGATATCCTCGTGTTTCTTCTTTCCACACTAGTTTTGTTTTTATGTTGTATATATGTTTTACGAATTATTATAAACAAACATAGCTTATCTGGACTGAAGTATACATATTCTATAGATTTCCCAGAAGTGATGTTATTCGGATAAATATTTGTCACAACATTTTGTTGCTGCTAAGGGGGCAAGTTGTTTTTTTTTTTCTGTTTGATTCCTTTGATATTTTTCCATGAATAATTCCAGCCATAATCAAAATAAATCGAAGCAAAACAAGGCAAAAATGAAGCATTTCATCACAAGTTAGTAATGCCTTGAATTTCACAGATGTTTGTATTATTGCTGAGTAAATAAAAGCAACCCGACAAAAGTATGGCAATAATGGTACCGAAATTGATTTATTTCTTTTTCTGCACTGTCGCATGCGAAGAGAGCATTGATGATTAAATCTATTTTCTTTGTTACTATCATTCATGTTTATTTTTTTATTTGCAGTCATGCGATATGTAAGCATTGTATGTTTGTATAGCTGCTGGCTGCATTTGTGATTATTTGATTTCTTGAAATCAATCATGGACCAAGTAATAAAATGAAGAAATTGATTTAACATCCATTCTAATGGCATTCTGCGGTACTCCTGTGCGTATACATTATGATGTTTCATTGTAGTTTACATAAACAATGCTCATACGCCGAGTAACACAGGAAATGAACAGGGAATAGCGTATGAACCCTTCGCCCATAGTTTTCAATGGAAATTAAGGAATAATTATTATTCTTATAGGGCATAAGCAAGGTGCGTGTAAGTGGTTCTGGTTGTAAAATATTAATGCATCGAACAGTACGTTTGCGTTAATTTATCTTTCGTTCGTACTCGAAGCTCGATTTATTCCTTTCTTCTATTTTCATAATAAAATTGTAGTTGTTTTTTATGTTTACTATATTTGATTTATTTTTAGTGTCATTATCATTTCATTACCATTCATTCATTATTAAAAAATAGGGGCATTATAGCAGCCACCTTCCTTGAAATATCTAATGGAAATATATGTAGCCTTGTGATCCCTATGCATCAATGTTGTAAAATGAAAATTGCATCATATAAAACACAAAAAGAATTTGTAAAATCCTAAACATAATTTACTAGATGGTCCGGAGTTTTAGTCTTTAATACATATTTTTTGAAGCATAATGATTCCCAGATCTGGCTCATATAAGTGGCTCAAATTTCATACCCTCAGCTACAACAATAAATTTGAAATACATTATATATTCCTTATGTTTGGAAAAAAGAGTTCCGAGTATGAAATTCGCGATCTTTCCGCTTGAGCCAATTCCGTCAAATAGCGATGATTTACTTTTCTAATTTGTTAGAGATCGTAGTCATTTATTAAGTACTAGTACTAGAGATCGTAAGCATTTATTAAGTACTGAACCCGGTGCGCTTCGCTACCCCTTTTAATTTTATATGCATCAAAATCTTTGCATACAAATATTTGTTTGTAAAAAAAAAATAAGACAAATTCAAAAAATTAAGAAACGTAATTATTTTAATGCGTAAACAAACAAATAGCTCGGTCTACCAAAGCGTGAACATGCCAGGAACAGCCTACCACAAGAAAAGCAGGAACATTATTTTATATAGTCCGCATACACGAAGGGTTTGTCCTTCGGATTTATTAATTTCATAGTAAATGCTAAGCGTGCAGGAAACTGCAATTAGAGAATTCAAGGTAGCAACATACTTCCTAATAATAATCGTATCCTCAATTAAATTGTTTTGTGGGTTTTTACTGTTGGCCTAGTACTATTGCAAAGGCGTTGTGGGTCAATGCTCTTAAAAAAATCATGTCCTAATCTGAACCGATATCAATATAATTTGAGAAAATTTACTTTTACACCAAATTCCGTCACACCTTCCATATTTCATTGAAATTGGGGCATCAAATATGTCAAATCGGCCGAAAATATATTTATGGGAGCTATATCCAAATCTGAACCGATATACATATAAATTGGCAAATTTATTTTTGTTCCAAATTCCGTTATGCATTCCAAATTTGGAGACTGTATCTGCGATCAATTAATAGATATGTGCATATAAAATCTAAATTGTTGGGAGGTACCTCCAATTCTGATGCCATATCTTTAGTTCCAAGTGGAATTTCAAAAATTTATATAGCCTATGTTACTGCCAGGCGATGTTGTAGTATACTTGGAAATTTTCAAGAAAATCTGTTCAGCGTTTTTCAAGTCCATAAATTACAAACAAACACACATACAAACATTATCCACTTTTATAGATATAGATTGGTTACTTTTCTATGACGAATAATAGATCATGTTTTTATACCCTCAACCATATGGCCTCAGAGAGCATATATCATTTGGTTTGGTCTCTTTGGACCAAATCCGTTTCAGGAAATTTGGAGTCGATCTAGGGGTCCATCCGTTGGTGCGCATAACTGTCGAAGGGAGTATCCGATTTTTTTCTGCAAACTTTCCGGTTTTTTGCAAACTTTTCAAATCCCAATATTGTTGTCAGTGCTAAGTCAGCTGCGATAATGAACAATATCGACCCACTCTATCAATTACCTCCCCCACAATGGGTCAAAATTTGGAATAAAATATGTAGTAGAATCAGATTTTCTTAAAATTTCACATATCCTAAAATTTTTGCTAACATAAGATCTGATGAAAAGATCCGATATATCGGCCCACTGCTTCTTGTGTCTCCCCCACAAAGGGTCTAAATTGTTAAAAGCCATGAAGCTCGAAAAACCGCGAAATGAGCATTTGATTCCTTTCAAGTTTGGCACATCTCAATATTTCTATCAACACAAGATCTATTG